GTAAATGTAAATGTAAATGTAAATGTAATGTAAATGACAAGATACCAATGTGGGCAATTCCTAGACACACAATAGAAAACATAAGTATAGTACAAAAACAGGATGTAATTACTTACAGACCGCTTCTTACCTTAGAAAGAGGTGTACTACAATTAAAACCTTTGAATGTACTAAAAGAGGAAAAGGTAATTCAAACATGGTTTCAGTATGGGCAGTTACAGGCCAGATGGAAAAGAGATCAAAAAATCGGTTTCATGCAAGACGAGTTTTTCCGACGCAGCCGACAGGCAGGGCCAGAACCGGAAGCTCCTGATTGGCTTGGGTGCGCCTGCCGGCTGGCGGGAAATTCACTGGTCGCCTATTGGCCAGCCGCTTACAGCTGTCATATATAAATAGCTGTCAGGCGGCCGAGCGCTGTCCGTGTTCTGAACTTGTTAGTTGCTATTACCTGTTAATAAAGTCGTTATATTTTACCTCACGCCTCATATTCTAAACTGGCGATGAGGATGAGTGACACGGACTCCATCATCGTCCCTGCCCTGGCTCCTTCATCTGTTTTCGCTGCTTTCAGGCCAGAGGCTGAATCATGGGACGCCTTTTTAGAGAGGTTTGAGGTCTTCCTACAGGCACACGACCTCTCCGAGTTCCCTGAGGGGAGACGATGGGGCACTTTCCTGCACTATTGCGGGCCAGAAATGTTCGCCACCGCCCGGGCTCTTTCTGCACCGGCCCCGGTACACACTGTGCTGTTGGATCTCCTCATGGCTCGGCTCAAGATTCACTATGAGCCTTTGCCTTCAAAGTATACCCGCCTGCAATATTTCCGGCGTTGTATTCAGAGGCAAGGCCAGTCCATCAGCCAGTATGTGGCTGAATTGCGAGCCGCCGCGATAAACTGCGAATTCGCCGATCTGGAGGATGCCCTCCTCGAACAATTTATCTATGGGCTCCTTGACATCAACTTGCACCGTCGAATTCTGGCTCGCACCGAGCTCTCGATGAAGATAGTGGTGGATGAAGCCGGGCTTACGAAATGGTCCACCCCAGATGTCCGCCGATTCCCTCCATCTGCGTTGCCGGCGCTGCCCAATTCTGCTGTGTACAGTCAGATGATGGTCCTCGATCCATGTGCCGACGCCGTTTCTTCCGTTGATCACCTTCGATCCATGCCTCCTCGGGATGGCAGTGGGTGCCTCAGCTGTGGCCGCTGCCATCCCAGGGCCTCCTGCCGCTTCCGGACGGCCCTCTGCCGCCGCTGTGGGTAGAAGGGCCACATCTCCAATGTCTGCCGCTCTGCTCCAGGAGATGCTCGGAACCCGAGGCCTCCTCCTCCTCTGGCTTCTCCTGCTCAGCCTGCTGCTTTCCGCCGCCAGCCTCCTGGGTCCTCCTCCTCCGCCCGCATGGACTGCTATGCTGTGTCCGGCCCTGAGCCTCCTCTGCCCAACTAGCAGGCCGACTGCTGCCTCTTCCTCCTATGGCAGCCAGGGTAAGATGCATCTTCACATCTTAATCGCAGGCCACCCCTGCAAAATGGAATTGGACATGGGCTCCGCCCGGACAATTATGTCTTGGGACACCCTGAGGTCATTTATACCAACCCTCAAGGCTAGTCAGCTAGTCCCTGCTGACTGCCTCCTTGGGTTGTGGTTACTTCCCTATCTCTGCGCATGCGTGGGAAATAGAATGGCTGCCGAATTCCACCGCTCCGAATGNGGGGGGGGAAAGTAAATATTTGTAAAAGTTTTTTTTTCAAAATTTTCATTAAAAAAAAGAAAAGAAAGGAGAGACCAGGAGGGATAAATTAGTTTACTGAATTGAAAAAGTTCTCATTTTTTTAATTCACTACCAATGAGTTTTCAATGGTTACGTTTCTGCTATAACCATAATTATGCTTTTAGTGAAAATAACAGGCGCTAATAATGTCATCATATTATTTTGTTCCTGAAAAAGAGCCTGTGGAGGAGTAAAATTTGGTGTTTGAAAATTTGTTGATATAAAAATCAGAAATACAAGCATAGAAAAGAAAAATAGTTTATACTTACAAATATGGGAATATGCCAGGAGAAAGATTATTTTTTCCCTGGGTGAGCTTTTTTTTAGAAAAAAAGAATTTCAGTGAGAGACTAAACACGCTATTTTTCTTCTTTTCCAGGTTCTGTGTTTTGAAACTGCTTACACAGAAGAAAGATGTAACACGGTGTCCACTTTGCAATGCCAAAATCACTAAAAGGTAAATCTCTTCCAGCACAAAATATATTCCACTTGTTAGGAGATCAATAGATAAAATGCTGAACTGAGCCAATCTCAGAAAGACTAGAGTACTCACTATTCAACTGCTAACACTAATGCGATGAGGGCATTGATGTAAAAGAATTGCAAATATTTAAAGCTTGCACGAAAAAAATACTCTATTGTATTGATAGCAGCTCCATTTAAAATTTATGTTGGCTTGTTTCAGAGGTCTGAGGGATGATATCTTTCTTAGAGAAGTAATCAAAGGAATTCTAGAATCCATCCATGCTTTTGAGTGCGATACTGGATTCAAGTGTAAGTATTGTGCCTTACCATAAACTTCATAGAAGTTTTTTTACTAACTTTTTTGTGATGCTGAATTGCACAACTGATCTTTCTGTTTTAAGGTTTGATTTCCACTTGTAAATTTAAATTTTTAAAGTATAATATCTATAAAGTTTGCATCTTCTTCATCCCTTGCTTCAGTCTCTGAAACAGGTAATAAATATATCTAATGCTACTCTGAGTTTTGGGGCTACTGATCCTTCAAACTCTTGCTATTGACTATTCTGGCTATGTTGATGAATGCTGAAATCTGAAGTATCTGGAGACCATTAGGTCGGCCTACTCATGCTCTAATACATTTAGTAGTATCAGAAGTGCAGCTTTCATATATCTGGTTCAAAGTCCATGATTGGATTTGTTGTTTTGAAGCTCTGGCATTTTCTTTTGGTTCGTTTTCCTTTACTTTGTTTGATTGATTAAGATCCAAGTTTGGATGATGTCTAAAGACACAGTCCAATTGGTGGAAGCATTTCGCAACTAAGAATGAATATGTCTTTTAGGGTTTATATTTTAGAAACATATTTATTAAAAGTATTGCTATGATAAAAAAAAATAGCTTGTATTCTGCAAATGTAGATTCATGTTCTTTGGCACTGCTAAAAGCCTCCCTCCAAAATTTAAATCAGAAGAATCACCAGAATGTTTGCATTGTACCGTTCCATGTGCATTTTGGTTTTAAGTACACCAGAGCACAATGGTAGAAAATCAATTATTTTAAAATTTAAAAGCTAAACACAATACATTCAACTAGTATAAAATAAACATGGCAAATAAACATGGTTTTACTTAATATTATAATTTTAATACCAGTGGCATCTCATTGAAGAGATAGTCCATAATTATGAATCTTTATTATGTAAAGAAACTACTAGAAGAAGCAAACTTGGGTTTATTGCTGTCTCTTCTCTCATCCCAGCTGCAAATGAGATGTTGCATTAAGTGGGTATCTCACATAAAAAAGTTGCCTCATCAAAGTTATCTCATCTGTAGAGGCCATTTTTACTCCTCATCAATAGATAAACATCATCAAGCCTATCTTGTTCCACTACAAAGTGAGTAAAATTGTTCTGGCTCTAACCTGGCGAAGAAGAAAGGCCTAAGACAGTTTAATTTCATTAGTCATCAGATTTAATGCTAAAGATTCTTCTGATAGCTGTTCTGAGGGCTTTTAGCACACACACACACACAGACACGCACTAACAACCCTGAACAATGGAATATTTCAAGATTTTATGTTCATCATAACAAATAAGTAGCTGTTTCGATGTATCAGCTGACATGGTTTTCTTAAGTGAAAAAAATTGGATGATATGAAAATAGGGCTACCTGTTCTCTCCGTCTTTAACAAACTTCTATGGTTCAGAGCTGTGGCCTAAGAAGCAAGTGAGATGAAACTAGACTGTAGATAGAGGAATATTCATACCAAATGAGACCAGACATATGAGCTTACTCATTGGAAGGGAAGCTAATGAAGACTTGTCCCAAAGGTGCTTTTTTCAGGAGGCAACTGGTCTTTGTTTTGTGTGTGTGTGTGTGTTTTGAAGACTTTTCATTACTCATCCAAGAAGCTTCTTTTTTTTTGAAAATTTTTATTTTATTTTAATTAAACAAAAACACAAAAAAAGAATCATCCTTCATTACATCTTGTAGAAAGCGTGTCGATTAGTTACAGATAACTTTCGTGCATTTCTTCCACAGTCATTACTTACAGTTCATATTAGAGTATACACTTTAAGTAAAACATCTTTGTATATCTTACTATTAGTGTACCACAGTTCTCATTTGACTACAATTATTTGAACATGCTTTTACCTCAAATGATTCGTACTTAAAGACA